TGAATATGAATAATTAATATTAATAAATTAATATGAATGTTAAAAAATCCCATATTTTCCTGCAGACCCTCCCTATCATCAACCTGAGGACTTAAGGACAGGTTAGTGTACTCTCAACAGTTGTTAACAGTATAGGTTCCAGTCTGATTTCCTGGGTTCCACTCGTTTTTGAAGATTCTGTACTTAACTTCTTTTCATAGTCAAGTGTTACCAGGCTGCTGCTCTTCTTAACTTGAAATTCTAGCCCTTACGGAGAAGCAGTAGCCTTGACTAGATTCTTAGATAGTTTTCTTATTAATTAGCTTTATGAATAAATCCCTTAGTATGTTTTTCTGGGATTTGTAAAAATTTTGTTTTGCTTTTTGGTTTGTTTTCTGTGTGTGTGTGTGTGTGTGTGTGTGTGTGTGTGTAATGTGTGTGTGTGTGTAATGTGTGTATGTGTGGTAGGGTCTCATGAAATTCAGGCTAGCCTTGACCTCATTTAGTAGCCCAGACTGACCTTGAAATGAGGTGATTCTCCTACCTTATCCTCCTAAATGTTGGGATTATAGGTGTGCTCCACCATGCCTGGTTTAATTGTCTTTTGAAGAAATTAAATGGTAAAAGTTTTGCCAAATAAGATTCCTGGTTGAAAGTTTTTTTTTCTTTCAGCCCTTTGAATGTATCAGTGATCTCCAAACTTTCCAATGAGAAATCTGCTAGTTGTCATAGGGGGATTTTTTGAATATGAGGAGTTGTTTTTCCTTTACAGCTTTCAAAATTTTTTTTTCAGTGTTAGATCTGAACCCAGGGCCTTGCACATAATAGGCAAGCATTCTACTACTCCCTACTGCAATCCCTCAGGAGTTGTAGTATATTCAGATAATGGTTCTCTGAGTTCATCCTTCATGGAATTCATTCAATATCATGGGTGATTATATTCATATCTTTCATCAAAGTTTTGAAGATTTTAACCTTTATTACTTCTAATAATTACTTTGCACATTTCTTTACTTTCCTTCTGGAATTTTTGCACTGGTTGATCTGCTTGATAAAGACCCCACATATCCTTTAGTCTCTGCCTTTATTTCTTAAATCTTTTTCGTTTATTTTTCCTGCCTCAAATTTATTTGTACAAAGAGCACAGGAGGACACCAGCCACCACAAATGGCACCCCAGGGGTCACACCAGTCTTCTGTTTTTATATCAGTAGGTAAGAGGCTTTTACTGTGGAGCCTTCATGGGGGCCTGGGCACCTTTGGGAGCCTGGGCTGGAGCAGAAGCTGGAACCTGGGCCTTTGCCCGGCAAGGCCTGCAACCCTTGGCAATGTGGGCACAGATATGCTTCCCAAGCTTGGAGTGGGCAATATAGGCAAGTCTAGTGAGCCTGCAGTTTACTCCCTTTGGAATAATAATTGGGCTTGACCTCCTTGGGCTTGAGGAGGGCCTTGATAGCCTTGGCACATGCATTCATGGCCTTGTCAGTGTTTGCATCTTCTTGAAGCCCTTCTTGTGCTGCTTGGCAAAACGCATGTTCCTAAGGAATTTAGGATCCACTCCCTTCAGAGATTCATATCTTTGTGACTGGGGTTTCTTGATGCCATTTCTATGCCATTTTCAGGACTGGTTGTGCATGGTGTGGTTCTTGGACTTGGCCATAACTGCACTGTAAACCGTGGCTGCCAAGCACCTAGAATGGGAAGAAGAAAAGTAATTTTTGTTTTTTATATACTTTAATCTGCTGAGCTATGTGGGTGACTCCTGATTGATTGATTGATTGATTGATTGATTTTTGGTACTGGGCATTGAACTCAGGACCTTGTACTTATCAGGAAGGTGCTATGTTGCTTAGCTATATACCTGGCCCAATGTAATGATGTTAGTTATACTGTTTTTGAGTCTTATCAATTCTTACTTCTGCCTATTTAAATTTATTTTTGCATCTTGCTAATAAATATTTCAGTTACTATATTTCTTAAGCTCCTTCTGGGATTTCTTTGTTTTTAAGTTTTCTCTCTCCTTATTCATAATTCCAGCCACTTTGTACATCATTGTCTTGACTTTTTACACACATCTTCCTTTACTTTTTTATATTTTTTAAGACACTATGAGTTGGGGATGTAGGTCAATGAGTGAGTGCTTGCTTAACATACAGCAAGAGCCCTTGTTCACAATAAAAAAGATCCTTACTACTACAAAAAAAAAAAAGAAAGAAAGAAAAAAGTGGTTTGAAAACTTATTTCTAGCAAGAGCACCATCTGGTATTCATCAGGGATCAGTTCTATTATTTATTTTCACTTTATGTAGCCCAAACTTTTCCTCTTGCTTGCTTGCCGGCCTGCCTGCCTGCCTGCCTGCCTGCCTTGCCTGCCTGCCTGCCTGCCTGCCTACCTGCCTGCCTGCCTTCCTTCCTTCCTTCCTTCCTTCCTTCCTTCCTTCCTTCCTTCCTCCCTCCCTCCCTCCCTCCCTCCCTCCCTCCCTCCCTCCCTTCCTTCCTTCCTTCCTTCCTTCCTTTCCCTTCTTTCCTTCTCCTCCTTCTCCTTCTCCTTCTCCTTCTTCTTCTTTTGTATTTTGGAGAAGGGTCTACAGGGTGTTCAGGGTCTCACTACTAGATCGGATTCATAGTGATCCTCCTGTTTACAGCCTCCCAAGAACTGGGATTACAGGCGCACACCACCACACCCAGTCTCAATTGCCATCTCAGCTGGCCCCCAGGGCAGGGCCCACATGACAGGCTAGGGGATCAAACCCCCAGTCCCTGAACCTACTTTCAGGTGCTTTAATCCGCTGAGCTATTTGGCTGGCCCCTTCTTTTTTTAATTTATGTATTTAGTACAGGATCTCACTATGCAACTCTGACTCATAGTGATCCTCCTGTTTTTAGACTCCCAAGTGTTGGGATTACAGGTGTGCAGCACCACATCTGGACTCATTGGCCAGCTCAGCACACCTGTGGTCAGGGCTGGTGTGGCATGTAATGCTGGGAATTAAACTCTGGTCCTCATGCTTGCCTAAGCAGGCACTTAGTCCTCTAAACTGTCTCACCAGCCCTTTTCTGTTTCTTTATACCTTCTGATTTTTGTTGTTGAAAACTGAATATATGGGCTAATATTGTATAACTCTGGAAATTATATTCTCCCTTTTCCTCAAGTTATGGTGATTTTGTTGTTGTTGTTCACTGTTGCCAAGAATAACTGAGTTGTGAGTTTAGGGTCTTCTCAGGTCTTGTGGAAGCCTGCACATAAATGGGCTGCAAGCTGCTAGAAGAACACATACATAGTTGATTACCTCAGGGTTTTGAGATGGATAACTGTTTTGAGCTGAAGAAAATGGACTATGATTTATCTTCCATGTTTTTCCTGAGAAGTTACAGCCTTTAAATATAACTCAGTTTATAATGGTTACATCATAAAACTTCTGCATTGTTATTTTCCTGGAGAGATAGTTTTCTGGCACTGTCTACTCTCCCATCTCCCTAGAATTCTGTCCTTATAATTGTGTTCTGTAGTACCTTATACTCTCTAATATATGAGATTTTCCATTTTCCCTTAATTATGCCATAGTACATTTACTTTCTCTGATCAAAGAAACCAGATGTTTTTCTTCTTTCCTATAGATTTGGAGTCAAGTTATGAAGTGATCAACTATGGAAAGATATACATTTATAGAAAAGATTCATCTCTTACTCTACATCAGAGAAATCAATATGGAGAGAAACCTTACGAGTGTAAAGAATGTGGGAAGGCCTTTGGTCGTCCTACACACCTTAGACTACATCAGATGATGCACACCGGTGAGAAACCTTATAAATGTAAGGAATGTGGAAAAGCCTTTAGTCGTCCTTCAGACCTTAGAGTACATCAGAGAATTCACACTGGCGAGAAACCCTATCGATGTGAAAAGTGTGGAAAGGCCTTTAGTCGTGCCTCACACCTGACTCAACATGAAAAAGTTCATACTGGAGAGAAATCCTATATATGTCATGAATGTGGGAAGGCTTTCAGTGAAGTTGGAAGACTGAGAATACACCAAAGAATTCACACTGGTGAGAAACCCTATGAATGTAGGGAATGTGGAAAGGCATTCAGTCAAGCCTCAAACCTAGTACAACATGCAAGAGTTCATACTGGTGAAAAACCTTTTGAATGTAAAGAATGTGGGAAGGCCTTTAGTCATCCTTCACATCTCATTCGACATGACAGAACTCATACTGGTGAAAAACCCTATGAATGTGAAGAGTGTGGGAGAGCTTTTAGCAGTAGTCACCAACGTACTATACACCATAGACTTCATACTGGTGAGAAACCCTATGAATGTAAGGAATGTGGGAAGGCCTTTTGTGTCTATGGACGTCTTACTCAACATCAGAGTATCCATAGTGGTGAGAAACCCTTCCAGTGTAACAAATGCAAGAAAACCTTTAGACTCAGTTCAGGCCTTAAAGTACATGAAAGTGTTCATACTGGTGAGAAACCCTTTGCATGTAACAAATGTGGGAAGTCCTTTAGGTTAAGTTCAACTCTTAAAGTACATCAAAGAATTCATACTGGTGAGAGACTTTATGGCATACATATATAAAAAGATAGAGACCAGATATGTTGGTACACATCTGTACTCCCAGTGCTGAGAAGGCTGAAAATAGGAGAATTACTAGAGTCTGAGCTGCATAGGAAGACCCTGTACCAAATACATTAAATAAATAAATAAATAAAGATAGTGTACAGCAAATCAGTGAATTTATACTACTGAAAAATGGAAGAGAACGTGAAAAGGCTTTTACATGTGCTTCAGTTTTTAATAAAGAAATCAAATAATTTATACTGGCATGAATTCTTTGGGAGGTTAGTAATGTTCGAAATTTTTAGTTACGCCCCACATATTCAGATTTAGGGACTTTATAGAAATAGAGTTTTATTTTATGGTATCCTGTGTTTTAGGGTTTACCAGGTGGCCAAGCTGTGTAGCCAGGGTTAGAAAGCAGGTTACTGCAAGGGAAGAGACCTAACATGTAACCTGAAGTTGTAGAAGACAGATAGCAAGCACATCAGGCTCAAGTGGTACAACATTTAATCAAAGCAACAGGAAAGCAGGAACACAAGGTCCTGCTCCTTGCAGTGTATCACAAGCCTTGACCATCGGAACCACCATGAAGCTGACATAGGATGTAGTGTTACACAGTTCTGTGCTTTTGTGGCAGGACTTCAGTCTCTCTCCCCCGGGTCATTGCTTCTTAAACAACACAGAGGAATATACATCAAGTCAGAAACAGAAAAAGACATTCCCATGCAAGTTTCTAAGTTCAACAAATTTTTCAGTGCCCTTTAATCTCTTGTTCAGAAGTATTCCAGGGTGCAAACCCAGGCTAATATGATTGTGCAGAAGTTGAAAGACTGCATGAATAAGATTGTTTTTCCTAATTCTCTTAATGTATTACTAGATTATTTGTACTGAAGGAAAAATTAAGGAAATGTATAAAACCTTGTTTTCGTGTGTTTATGTATAAAAAACTTCCAGTAAAAATTACTTATTAAACTTGAGTCATATGACAGAAAACCCCTACTAATGTAACAGCAGGAGAGTGTTTACGATTTGTTTGTTTCTATCTAAATCACTACAGTTGCATTTTCGTTTATATCTTGTTGGTTTTGGTTCTAATCATGCCTTGAATCTGATTCAACTTGGAAAAACAAATAATAATGTTAAAATGCGATTAGAATTAAAACAGTTCATATATGGGAGAACATGGGAAATTGTTTAGCATAAAGTTTATGTTCAGTGCTCATTGGCTACAAGTTCTAATTTTATTATGTTATTGCTAGAGAAGATTAAATGAATTTAGGAAAGTTTTCTGTAACTATCCTTTTTTGAATTTGAATTATCCTTCCTTAATAACTCTGATAGAATGTAAAACACTGAGAGCATCTTCATTTACATTTCTTAAGCTGAATCAAGTATTTAAATTTTTGAATGAAATCCAGATTTATAACTTTAGAATGTATGAAAAAATTTAAATTAGCCAGTAAATTGATTAGAAATTAGCTAAAGGTATAGGTCTGTGGTAGAGCTCTTGCCTAGCATGTATTGAAACCTTGAGTTTGAGCCCCCAAACCCAGAGATACACATACAAAATAGCCAAAGTATATTCATTTTGAAACTTAGTTTCATTTGTAATTAAAAATATTTGAACAGGGCCAGGGAGATAGCTCAGTAGAATAAGCACTTGCCTGGCAAGTGCAGGGTCCTGAGTTCAATCCCCAGTACCACAAAAAAAAAAAAAAAAAATTGAACAGAGACAAGTTGAAATAACAATACACTCAGGTCTCCATATTCATGGGGCTCATATTTGCATATTGAACCTCAGATGATAATATTCAAGAAAATTGTGACTGTACTAAACATGTATAGATTGCTATAAGTAATATGTATAGCACCTATTCACACAGTTGTGTTGTATTAGATATTATAAGTAATCTAGTGATGATTTAAAATACAGTCATGCAGGGACTGACCAGATAGCTCAGCAGACTAAAGCGCCTGCTTAGGCAGATGCAGGGACCAGGGTTCAACCCCAGTGTGCCATGCTGGCCCCACCCGTGGGGTGCACTGTGACAACCATTGATACTGGGCATGGTGGCACGCTCCTGTAATCCCAGCTCTTGGGCAGTTGAAAATAGGAGGATCACTGCAAGTCTGATCTGTGTAGTGAGACCCTGTAGACCCCATATTAAATACAAAAAAAAAAAAAATACAGTCATGCATTGCTTAATAACTGGGGTAAATTCTAAGACTTGCATTGTTGGGTGGTTTCAGCATTGTGTGAACATCATACTGTATGTACAGGGCCGGGGAGATGGCTCAATGGAATAAGTGCTTCCCTGGCAAGCGCAAGGACCTGAGTTCTAATCCCCGGTTCCACTAAAAAAAAAAAAAAAAACCATACTGTATGTACACAAATTGAGATGGTACAGTCTACCACACACTAGGTTCTATCATGCCACTTAGTACTCCTAGGCTACAAACTTGTATAGCATATTTTTGTCTTGAATGCTGGAAGCAGTACAGTAACAACCCAGTGGTATCTGTGTCTCTAAAAAAAAAAGTATAAGTGATTTTGAAATGGTATGCTTGTATAGTGCACTTACCATGACAGGATGGAAATTTGTTCTGGGTAAGCCAATAAGTGAGTGGTGAGTGAATGTGAAGGCCAGGACATCTACTATCTACTACTATAAACTATACATACTGTATAGCTAGGCTGTAGTACATATAACATAGTATTTTTCTTTATTATTAACCTTTCCATAGACTTAAAGTTTTTCATTTAACTTTTTTGGGGGGGTATTAGGAATCAAACTCAGGACTTTACACTTGCCAGGCACATTTGTAATAGGTTTTGTTTTGTTTGGGTTGAGACAGCCTTGCTGTATACTTCAGACTGGCCTTGCATTTCATATGTAATGTAGGCTTGCCTAGAATTTGCAGCAATTTACCTGCCTTAGTGCCCCCCCCACCCCAGCCAGTGCTGGGCATGTGCCACCATACATGTAAAGACAGTTTAAAATATACATGTTGTAGATTTTTTTTTTTTTTTTTTTGGAACCAGGGATTGAACTCAGACCCTTGTTCTTGCCAAGAAAGTGTTTATTCTACTGAGCCATGTCCATGGCCCCCTTACATGTTGTAGAACTGCACAAAACATTTTTATATATTCTCATATAAGCATTTAAATTTTTTTGGTTTTTTGCTTTAATTTGTTGTTGCTGTTGTTGTTTAACACTAAGAGATGAACATACACCTTATCATAGGCCTACATGGGGTTTGGATCATCAGTAGTCCTGTCTTCCACTTCCACATTTTTTCCTGTTGGATCAGGAGTAATACCACACATGAAGCTGTCATTTGTGATAAGCGTGGCTTCTTGATTGCCTAATGAAGGACTTGTCTATCTTTTGCTGTTAACTGTTTTCATCTCTTCTAGGGTTGAATCCAGGGCCTTCCTTGTACTAGGCAAACACTATCTAGGCCTTTTATTTTTTTTCAGGTAGGGTCTGGCTCAGTTTCCCAGGCTGGCCTTGAACTTACTAATTTTGGCTTCCCAAGTAGCTGAGATTTCAGTAATGTACTACCGCTCCTGGTTTAAACTTTTTTTAAGTAAAAGAAACATACTCTAAAATAATGATTAAAATCGTGTATGGTGGCACACACCTATAATTACAGCACTCTGGGAACATGAAAAAGGAAGATCGCAGGTTTGAGCCCAGCCTCAACAAGTTGGTTAATGACTTCATAAGAACTTGGTTCAAACCAAAAAAGTTAAGGACTGGGGCTGTCTCTCTGTGTGAAGATACTGGGCTCAATCCCCAGTACTGCAAAATAAATAATTTAAAAATGATTAAAATTACTATAGCCAAATATGGTGGCATGTCTATGTAATCCTAGCTTTTTAGGAGGCTGAGGCAAGAAGTTGGCAAGTTTGAGGCCAACCCAGATAACTAGAGCCCACCCCCTAAAAAATAATGGGCTGTGGAGGTACCTTAGTATGTTTCTGGATTCAATCCCCAATACCAGGGAAAAATAATCACCTGTACTGTATGTAGCCAATAAAATTTTGTTAAGGACTTACTGCATATTAAGTCATAGCACACATCAAAAAAATCTGTTAAGTCGTGGTACATGCCTATAATTCCAACACTCTGGGAGGCTGGAGCAGGATCACAAGCTTAAGCTGGGGCTGGAGCTCAGTGTGAAGACACTGGATTTAATCCTCAGTATCAAAAAAAATCCTTAAAATCCACATATTAGAATATTCATTTTGGGGCTGGGGAGATGGCTCAGTGGAATAAGCGCTTCCCTGGCAAGTGCAAGGGCGTGAGTTCAATCCCCGGTTCTGGGAAAAAAAAAAAGAATATTCATTTTGGCTATTATTGTAGAAGTGTATTGTGACTTGTCTTTTTTTTGTATTTCCATATTTTCATGATACTAATTTTTATAAGGAAATTACCAAGACATAACTATTACACATTGCTGCTTTTTTCCTTCTATACTGTAAAACCTAAAATTTTTTTGTGTTATCCCTGTAATTTTGAGCCTCCCTTCAGGGCCCTACATTTCTAATACTAACTGTTACCTGATAAGCCTCCATCCAGTAAGAAACACTTCCAACCAGGTAATGTCTCTTGTCCTACTTGGTCCTTAACCTAATAGGAGTCCTCCTGTCAGCCTGTGAAACCAGCAAAGCAAGATATTTGCATTCGCACATGGAAGGCAAGGGACACTTTATCCTCTTGTTATTTCATAGCCTGAATCTCATAGCCCCTACTGCCTTACTTTGTCCCTAAGTGGAACCATTCTGAGCATGTGGTGACTTTTACCCTTTGGGATGTTAGTATATGTGATTAATATTTTTTGAAACAAGGTCTTGCTATCTATTTTAGGCTGGCCTTGAACTCATGATGTAGCCCACCCAGGCTGTGCTCAAACTCAGGGCAATCCTCCTACCTTAGCCACT